CAAATGCTGAGAAAAAATGCTCTGAAAATGAAAAGCAAAAACTATTTATTGAACACTTTATATATGTTAGAGGTGGGGGTGGGTGGGTCAAGGTGAGGATGTATAAAATCTCATCTCAACAATGCTATAAAGTGGGCAATGTCATCATTTTGCAGATGAGGAAACAGACTGTTAGTGATTTGCCAAGAGCTGACGAGTGAGGAGTCAGGGTCTGTGTGGACCCAGGTCCATCTGATCCAGGATGTTTCACACATCATGTTTTTTTTCTCTACCCCTCAATATTCCTTTCTTGTGCTTTCTCACACTTTCCCTTAGTGCTCAGTAATCTCTGGCCCATCCATGGCCTCCCTGGTTTCATAGCCTACACATAAAACTTTTCTGCCTTCCTTCCTCCTCCTTCCCATCTAAATACCACATTGAGCCATTTCATTCTCATCCACTCTCCACTAATGCCTAGATCTCAAATTCTATCACCACCATCACCCCCTTCCTATCTGTAAATCTCTCCACCTTTAACCTCCCATTTATTCATCGACTCCATCATTCTTTGGCTTATTTGATTCTTTGATCAACTGCTTTAATCCTGTTATCTCCGGATTTTGTTACTATCTTAACTTTCTTCTTCTGCGACCTTCCTCCCCTAAGAGGGTACCTCTATCTTAGTCACAATTTCAATCTCTCCTGTTCCAAAGGCTCCTTTGCCCTCAAGTTCCTCCTTCCCCACACTCCATCTGTCAGTTTGCCTGATTACTCTCTTGAGCAATGTCAACTCCCTTCTACTCCTGGCTAAAAATCTTTCATTCTTCCTTTACCTAATCTATCACCAAGGTCCACATTCCTTAGCCTGAAATTCAAGCCCTCCCCGCCTACACACACACACACACACATCCATCCCATCATATTGTCACAACCTACCTGTTCAGCTACATGTTCCACTATCCTTTTTGGTTGCCTTATGCTACCATCGAGCTGAACTATGGTGATTTTTATCTTAATGACCCATTTTCCTCTTCTTCTATACATTTACTTATAATACTGCCTCTACCTGGAATGCTAATTATTCTAATCACAAGATGTGTAAATTCTATCTACTTTTTAAGAGACAAGTCAAAGTCCACTCCCTCTATGACAGCCTATTTCCCTTGCTGGAAGAAATTTCTTTATTCTCTGAATTTTCGTAGCACTTGATTGATCCCCTTATAGCACCTATTGGTTTCTGTCTTATAATACAGTTAGATATTTACATGTCTGACACCTCTACCAATCTGGAAGCACTTTGAGAAAAGAACCATCTTTATAAGCCCCAAAGTATTTAACAGTATCTAACATGTAATTGTATCTAATAAATGATAAATGAATGTTTAAAAATCAAAGGAACATTTGTGAAAGAGCAAATTTAAAGACTGTTTAATAACATTCCTCCAGAGATTTAGTTAGAATATTAATAAACTATTGTGTTCTGTATTATAATCCAGTTCATTTATATTATACAAAGTTACACAAATTATTGCTCCATGGGTGAAAGCTGGACAGAAATTATTTTTCTCTTGTCCTACTCTTTTAACAGTTAGGTGGACATTTTCATGCACTCCTTAAAAAGCTCAAAATATTTTTCCAGCTTTCAAATTTTAAAATTTAGTATTCCTTCTTTCTTGTTCTGTAAATTTTTAAAACACTTTTAGTAGTAATAATTCGTCAGGAAATTCAAGGTGAACTATAAACTATTTGTTGGTACTTTCTAATATTTGTTACTTTTTAATATATGCCACATTTTTACTTGACTAAGTTTGAAAAAATGTACATATTAAGACAGACGAGAGTGTAAAATGGCTTTATTCTTTCTACTAAAAAAGTGCTCTAAAAACAAGTGAATAGTGTGTATCAACAAAGGACCTGTTTAACTTCTATGAGATTGAAGGCAGACTGTTTCAAAGGTTCATTTTATGATCTTTTTATTTGCAAATTTAAATATGCTATTTTTAAGGCTTTTTAAAGAGAGTGTAAAAATTAAGATTTTCCAAGATCTGTAGCTGGATTCCTAAAGTTGCACATGCTTCTTAACTTTTCATTCACAAACTTACTTTCCTTCCAAATATTTAACTACCATTGAATTATACTTAAGTTGCAGTAGGTCCAAAAACTTTTCTAAATCTTTAAAAAATTTTTTTCAGATACACAGTATACAGCCATTATTTTTCTAAATTTTAGGACAAAATATATCAAAGAGAATTTTTAAAAGTTTTATACATAAAGATGATATATTTATGTAACAGTATGTTAATTGGGAGTTTTTCTGTTGCCCAAAGGCTGAAGACAGGTGTCCCACTTGGTAGAGAAAATGCCAAATACATTGGTTATAAATACCCCTTGGCTGTTCACAAAGAGACAGTGCTACCCTGAAATAATTACTCCAGTCCATCATTCCTCTTTACCCACCACACCATCTACATATAAGCTCAAGTGGGTATGGATGGGTTAGGGGTGGGAGGGAATAAGGGGAGAGAGAGGGGATGAGAGGCAGAGAGACCAAGAGAATGAATTGTCCAAACTGTGTGACAGTGAACAAGTTTGTCAAAGTTATGAGGAGTACTATTCCCCAACTCACCCCCAAGGCAAGTAAAGAGAATTTTAAAGAGAAACACTTGTAAAAACTGAAGGCACCTGCCAAGGAAACAGCAGCTGTTTGAGCAGGATGAAAAGAGTTGGAAAAAAGTATCAAGAAGAGGGGGAGGCATGGGAAGATGGTGAAGCACCTGTTTTCCAAGATTTTGTAGGTGAAGGATGCGTGAGTTTCCAGTGGGTCCAGCAGGGATCACTGAAAGTAGTTGGCTTTGAGAATTCTTGCCAGCGTTTCAAGAGCAAACATCTGAAATGAGAGACTGTGGACTTACAGTATTCCAGTGGGAGCTGAGGGGAGTTTGGAAAAGGTGGAAAGGACCTCTCATTTAAGGTAATCTGTATAATTGAGGAAACCAACTACCCCTCAGCCCCCCTCTCCTCATACATGCATCTTATCAGAGAGCTAGCATTTGGAAGGCTACTACACCAGAGGCACCAAAACAGAAACCAAAAACAAAACAAAACAAAAAACCCTACGTGAAATTAAATAAGTAAAAATTGCCTAGAAGCCTTTTTTGTTTATTATTAAAGGCAGCACTAGATAAGCAACAGACACACGTCCCTTTCTAGTTCTCCCTACTTCTCAACTCATATTTCCCTCTTCTTATAGGGACACCGGTCAGATTGGATTAGGGCCCGCTCTACGGGTCTCATTTTAACTTAAACACCTTTAAAATTCCTGTCTCCAAACAGTCACATTGTTAGGTACTGGGAGTTGGGCTTCAGTGTATGAATTTTGGGGAAACACAATTCAACCCATAACACCAGACAAGTGGGGAAAAACAAAAACAACAGAAACCCCCAAATTTTAAATAGCCAGAAGTCTGGGAGAAGACCGAGGTCTTCTGTCACAACCATGTAAGATGGTCCTAAATGGTAAGCACGGGATGAGGAGCATAATGGCAGGCAGAAGTGCCAGATAAAGCCTGGAGTTTGCAGAGTTGGAGCAGTCTAGCCAAAAAGAGGAGGGCACGCTGAGGAAGATGAGGCTCTGATGAAGATCCATGATGCACAGCATCACTAAAGGCTCAGCTGGAAAACAGGGAGCACTTGCCTGACCAAAATTTAGATAAACATGCACAGCCCTATAATATAGGGCATGGGAGTGGGGTGATTCTTACAGTTAATCACAAATAGAATCCCGTTTCAATGATCAATGAAGAGACTGGGATATGGCAAATTCCACATACTTGTGACATAGATTAAAAAATGCATATGAGATAAACAGGTGTAAGATTATAAAAGGTAAAATTCAACTAAATTTTAAGTGCAGAGGGAGGGAAAAGATCAGTTTGTTCTCTCCTGACTGGCAGGTCATGGGAGGCTAGAGAAAGGCCCTGAGCATCTAGACTTCCTGTTACCTGTAAATACTGCCCTAATTAAACATCAGATACTGTTTCAATGTCTACAATTATTTAAATAAAAGTAGTTCAACTAATCTGTCATTGCTTAGCTGCGTTTGCAAACTGGGCTACTTCTTTTACTACTTTACCTTCCCCAATTCCTTCTCTACACATCTTGTTAGTTTAATCACACTTATGCCATCGGAAAATATTTATGGATCTTTCAAAAAGGTATTCCTCACCAGGTTGGACTTCATCTATGGCATGCCACAGCATAAATATATTTCCTTTGAAGTGAGCTAAATTTCATAAAGGCAGCTATTTACTTCACATTTTTAAAGAAAACCTTTAAAGATTAAGACCTACATTTATTGAAACATCAGAGAGATTGTCAGATATAAAAAGGCATGGCTGTTTTTCCTTTTCAAAAAATACTTTCCTTGAGAGCTATCTACAGTTAATTGAAATTTTGATGGTGTCTGATATGCCACTTATACAGGACATATCCGCTGGATCTTTTGTTACTTAGACAAAACAACACCATACAGGTTAATCTTTTAAAGTAAGGTCCTTTGTAGAACTCTCCTTTGGCTTTTTCCCCACCTTTCCCTCTATTATAGATCTATAACAGACTGTGATCTGCAAGCAAAGATGAAGGACCTGGATTACTGGAATAAAAGCATTTAACATGTGAGGAGATGGAAGTTAAAACATAGCAGATGTTCCTGTACATATTAAAAATTATACTTGAATTTCCTGAGAAAGATATGTCAAAGGATTTATAAACCATTTCTTAATGTTCTAGGAGAGGGTGTAACATCCCTCCACAATAAACATTCCATTAGGTAAGGCTGGTTCACCTCATGCAATAAGTCTCCGTTTCTAAAACGATACCCCTGCACACTGAGAAGAGTCTGGCAGGGTTATGGGCAATTTGTGCCTAATTTATCTGAGGTCTCCAACTGCTTCATTACAACAAATGAAAGGATTTCAAAACAAGCCTAAAACACAGAATTCAATACACTCGAGAATACACTTAACATTACCAAATAATTTATTTGGAATCAGAATTAAAAGAACATTTGACAGTTGTGAAATGTATGTTTATTCTGAAACTTCTGATTAGTTGTACAACTAATTCATGATAATTTATCAGATTAATTTTACTTTATTTCTTCAGGCCTGAGGTTTTTCGATGATTTCAAATTTAGGATCTAAGAAGAAAAAAAAAAGGTTCATGCTTAGCCATATTGCAATAACATGCATTATCTAGAAAGCTTCAAGATTTAACTCATCAATCTTTTGAATTTTTTTTTAGTGAATATCTACTGTTTTTAAATATCTACATAGAAATATAACAATAGCTGAACATTTGTGCAATACTTCCTACAGGCCAGGCTATTTTTTTGTTTTTGAGACAGAGTCTCACTCTGTTGCCTGGGCTAGAGTGCCGTGGCGTCAGCCTAGTTCACGGCAACCTCAAACTCCTGAGCTTTTAAAGCAATCCTCCTGCCTCAGTCTCCCGAGTAGCTGGGACTACATGCACATGCCACCGTGCCTGGCTAATTTTTTCTATATATTTTTAGTTGTCCAGCCAATTTCTTTCTATTTTTACTAGAGACGGGGTCTCGCTCTTGCTCAGGCTGGTCTCGAACTCCTGAGCTCAAACGATCCTCCCGCCTCGGCCTCCCAGATTGCTAGGATTACAGGCGTGAGCCACCGCGCCCAGCCCAGGCTATCTGTTAATTGACTTTGCATATATTATGTCATTTAAATATACCATATGAAAAAGATACTATAATTCTCACCAAATGTCAGATGAGGAAACAGGCACCAGTTAATTATCCAAGTTCATACAGCTAGTAATATTGTCAGGATTCAAGATCAAGCAGTTTGATTTCAGATACCCATCATTTAGTCTCTATGTTAATATGATCTCCTATCTAACGCAAACATTTATCCAGAACTTTGCATACATGCATCATGGTTCTAATAAATTCACATGTAATTGTCATTTAATCCTCCAAATAATCCAAATAATTATAAATATTTTCCACTTAAAATAATCCCTCACAAGAACAAATCTGTAATTAAAGAGACTTACCTTCAAATTTGAAGTTAGGGAACGTATTCATATCTGCTTTACCATACATTTGCTTAAGCTTAAAAAGCTCCTTCTCTAGGTCTTGCTGATACTCTGGGCCAGTATCAACAGGTCCTCCAGATGCCCTGTTGTATAAATGAGCAAATAAAAACTAATTTTTTGCACTAGTTTAAAAAACAAATTACCTTTCACCATCAAGTTTCAATAGACCTTTTAAAGGTATTCATGTAGGGAAAAAAAGACTTTTCAGAAAGAAAATAAGTACTTCCACTTGAATTTTGATTTAACTAGTTTAATATGATAAGATTTCAACATAAATGAGGTAACTTCAAACAAATCTCTGACATTCCAGGTTTGTTAATGTGAAGGATACCTACTAAGTTGGAATCTCTCAGGGTCTAAGTTACAATAAGATGTTAAGGGTTAAGTCTGTGAGTTCTGAGTCAAAGACTGGTTCCATCTGAACATCAGTTCTACCATTCAGTAACTGTATAAACCAGAGGGAGGCACAAAACACTTTAAATTTCAGTTTCCACATCTAAAAATGAAGGTCCTACCAAATGAGGGTGTTAAGAGGATGAAAGAGTATCACTTGGCATGGTGACTGGCATACTGAGCACTCAATACATATCTACTATCAACTGCTTTAAATCAGCCATTGCTAGATGGCTTTTAAAAGATTTTAGTAACTTTAAGTCTTTGTAATAGGGGTCTATCAAAGAAATAAATTATTTCCTACCCTCTGAGATTGTGCAATTTAGAAGAAAAAAAATTATATGCTCACAAACATTTATTTTGTAAGGGAGTTATACAGTGAGCTTCAAAGACTTGGTTTAACAAAAAGCTATTCAAGTTGAGGAGAGATCATTTTTGCTGAGCTCATCAGGAAAATTTTCATTTAAAAAAGGTGGCATTTGAGATAAATCGGGCATCTGAGGCTAGATTTTATTTTGAGACCTTCTAAGACTGAAAAAGCAAAGCCATGGAGGTGGTGAAGCATTGCTGTATGTGGGAAATACTAAGCAGTAAGGAGAAACCAGCAGAACCCAGATCATGAGAGGCCTAGCATGGGACTAGGAATTTGTATTTTATTTGCCAAGCGATAAAATGATAAAATTAGAATTATGTTTTTGGAAGATAAATATAGCATCATGGAACAGAAGCAGGACCAAGTAGGTCTAATTAATCCTTTGAACAAACTGTTCTGTTTCTGTCATAAACGTTACCTTATCAATGGACGATATTATAAACTTTAAAAATGTACAAGTGAAAATACCTTCAAGAGTAATATTTTCACACATGCCTATGATCAAAGCATGGAGTCTTATTTATGTTAAATAATTTCCACAAAAAATACACAAACAGCTCCAGTTTAAGAACTTGTTCATGATGTTTCTTGTTAAGGGCCCAATTTTTCTTTAGATCAGCACTGTCTAACAGAACTTTTTGTGATATTAGAAATCTGTATCTCTGCTATCCAGTATGGTAGCCACTAGCCATATCTGGCTATTGAGCACTAGAAATATGGCTAACACAATAAGGTACTGAATTTTTATACTTAATTGTAATTAATTATAAAATTATTGAACAGTCCATGTGGATAATGGCTACAGAAATGGAGAATGCAGTTCTACACAGCGCCTTCACCCAGATACTCTAATACTGGTTACTAATGGATGATGGTTATTATAAATTTAATATGCTCTGTGATGATTAAAATGGGGCCAGAAACCATCTACCTCCTCAACTGAATATAAGTCTCAATGCCTATCTTGTTTATTATTATATCCTAGGCTCCAGCATGGTGACTGGGACAAAGCAGACCCTCAGGAGATACTTGTTTATTGCATTTAGCAAATACTAGGCACACAAATTTATTGACTCATTTATTCTTTATAATATCCTATGAGATGGTTAAGTACTGTTAATGCCATCCCCATTTTACATATGGGGAAACTGTGGTACAGAGGTTAAACAACCTGCCCAAGGTCACAGAGCTAATAAGTAGCAGTGCTGGATTCTAGCCCAGGGTCCATGCTTAAAGCACCTCCCTGTGCTGTTTGCACAAATGAACGAATGACCCACAAAACATTCCTTAGATTCAAGGTACATCTAAGAACTGACTTTTTAGTGGACAGGCTTTTAAGGACAGTTAAAATGCAAATAGCAACAATACTAAGATGCACCACCACCTTTGGACAGAAGACAATCAAAATTCCCTGACCAGTCCAGCATACTTGCTTCCTGAATACTGTGATTTTTGGCAAATTCTAACTTTCATCCTTGGTTTTCTCATATATAAATTTGGGATAAAAATCTATAGGGTTGTCAGACTTTCATAACTATGTCTATAAAGAGCATGGTACCTCATTACATTTTAATCCCTTCACTATCTCTCCTCCGTAGTTTTCGTTATGGCAACACCTTTTTGTTAGTTACCTTGTCTCAAAAGTCTGTCTGTTTTGATTGCTTCCTCTCCTCTACCCCTCCACCAGCTCACCAAGACCCGTTCTCAGGGTCTTGACTCCGTCACTTTTATAGTCCCACTGCTATCAAGTCGAGGTTCTCACCAACTAATGCTTGGATTATTACATTTTCCTAACACGTCTGTCTTTGCTCTCTTCTCAGCCCAATCTTACAATAAACTGATTAAAACTACGTTCCTAATTCAGAATAATCTTGTTCCACCCCAACCATCCTGTTCGAAAACCTTTAATTTCTCACAAATGCTTATCACATGGTATCTTAATTGCCCATTCCACAATCAAGGCCTTTCATAAACCCTCATTCTAACCCCATGCCATCCTTATTGCTCACTATACTCCTCATATGTCCTGTACTCCAGGGAAACAGAATTACACAATTCCCCAAATATACCTTGTGCTTTCTATTATAGTTTTCATGCCTTAGCTCACACCATTCTTTCTCCTGAAAGATATCCTCCTCCTAACCCCATTTATCTATCCAACCTTCATAGTAATTGTTCTCAATCTAGAGGAGACCCCCGGGTGTGGGTGTGTACTGACAGTCTTCTGCAGGTTTGAGAACTCTTTTTTTTTTTTCTGAGACAGAGTCTCGCTCTGTTGCCCTGGCTAGAGTGCCGCGGCATCAGCCTAGCTCACAGCAACCTCAAACGCCTGGGCTCAGCCTTCTGAGTAGCTGAGACTATAGGTGTGCACCATGACACCTGGCTAATTTTTCTATTTTTAGTAGAGACGGGGTCTCACTCTTGCTCAGGCTGGTCTCAAATTCCTGACCTCAAGCAATCCTCCCGCCCTGGCGTCCCAGAGTGCTAGCATTACAGGCGTGGTGAGCCACCATGCCCGGCCAAGAGAACTCTTTCAAGCTATAAGCAAAATCGTGAGTAAATTCTTCACTTTTTTCTTTTTAAATTGGGAAGACGATCCACAGAGCGTCATTCATCCCTCCATGGCATTCTCAAGAGAGATGAATGACCCCAAACACTGCCTTCAACACCAAGATAGAACATTACCTCTTTCGAGAAGTCTTCTACAATGCCTCCAACTAGAAAGGAGTAATATTATACTTCCTATGAACTCCCCAAACACTGTATGTGTCACTATCTTAGCACCTAACCCGTTTTACCTTACACTGTATTTCCTTGCTTACAAGCTTTCTGCCTTTTTCAGATTTTAAGACTATTGTGGAAATGTAGCGTGGCCCACCACAGTTAATAGCCCAGTGCTTTGCACACAGTAGACAACTAACTGAAAGACAAAGAAAACTAAGAATCGATGTATACAACATTCCGTAAGATTTGAGGGTTGGATCTGATGATAGCTAAAGTGGTCACTCATTTTCAAACCCATGTGGTTCTGTAATCTTGTTTTTATAGACTTACTTTACGCCACTTCGGTCTCTTTTGTCCTTTGATATTCCCACAGATACAGAACTATGGAAATAGCCTTAAAAAATGCTATGTTTATATATTTTCCCCAAATTATGATGTCACAGGGCACTAAACTGAGAGTTAGAATACTTTGATGACATATTCTTCTCCAATTAGTTTTATAATCTTAGGCTAATCAATGTGTAAGGGACTTACTTTTTTCAAATATAGTTGCTAAATTATCTCCAAGATCTTATGTACTTCTATTAATTGGCTTAGTTTAAATAAACGACATTACAGTAAGGATATATTTTAAATGACAGTATTTTTAATAAGATTTTCCCTAGGAACCCTTATAAAGAAGACAGAGTTTGGGACTTTATAAAATATCAAGATCCTTATCTTCTTTTTTTTTTTGAGACAGAGTCTCACTGTGTTGCCCGGGCTACAGTGCCATGGCGTCAGCCTAGCTCACAGCAACCTCAAACTCCTGGGCTCAAGCAATTCTTCTGCCTCAGCCTCCCAAGGAGCTGGGACTACAGGCATGCGCCACCATGGCCGGCTAATTTTTTTCTATATATTTTTAGTTGTCCAGCTAATTTCTTTCTGTTTTTAGTAGAGACGGGGTCTCACTCTTGCTCAGGCTGGTCTCCAACTCCTGACCTCGAGCGATCCTCCCGCCTCGGCCTCCCAGAGTGCTAGGATTACAGGCATGAGCCACCGCGCCCAGCCCTTATCTTCTTTTTTGAGGGCACCTATTGAACCTCTATGTCAGGGATCAGCTGAGTGAAAGTCTGACACTTTCAAACACCAAGTGTTTTTATTACCATCTTTAACTTACATACTTTCAATATTTACACTGTGGTTGATTATCTACCCACTTACTGTCGCTTAGATCTGTATTCTCTAATCTTGTCTACGAAGAGTTTCTGTACAGGATCAAGTTCCTTATTAAATGCCACTGCTGTAACACCGATGTTCCTCCTCAAATGGACTGAGAGTGTCGATCGAATGACAGAGGAGAGCCTGAAGAGCCTCTGAAGAATCATGGTGATTCTATGTTACTGAAAACAAGCATCAGAAATATTAATATACTTATTGTAGAACACCTCTAAATATCATATAGTGCAGAGGTCCCCAATATTGTTGGCACCAGGGATTGGTTTCATGGAGAACAATTTATATAAAAATGGGGGCAGAGGCAGGGATGGTTTTGGGATGATTCAAGTACATTACATGTATTGTGCAGTCAAACCTCTCTGCTAATGATAACTTGTACTTGTAGCCAACCCCCGGCCCCCAGCACTATCATCACCACCTCAGATCATTAGGCATTAGATTCCAACTCAGCTCCACCTCAGATCATTAGGCATTAGATTCTCATAAGTAGCTTGCAATCTAGATCCCTCGAACGTGTAGTTTCCAGGAATGTTTGAGATCCCATGAGAATCTAATGCCACCCCTGATCTGACAGGAGGCGGAGCTTATGCAAAGATGCAAGAGCGCTGGGGAGCGGCTGTAAATAGAGATAAGCTTCACTCACTGGCCAGCCGCTCACCTCCTGCTGTGTGACCTGGTTCCTAACAGGCCTCAAACCAGTACCAGTCCTTGGCTGGGGTTTGTGGACCACAGATACAGTGGGAATCTCATTCTAATTATAGAACTAAATCATACCAGAACTCAGCCTACACCTGACCACAGTTCCTTTCTTTGTCTTTATTCTCCATTGCAAGTTTTTTGGTTCCTAACAAAAAGGCCCCGTAATCTAGGAGCAGTTAGGTACAACTCATACCTGAGGTTTTACTAGGATTAGAGCAGAAAGAAAACACAAAATCTGGCATGGGGTGTTTCTTCTCCCATGAACTTAGTCTTGGACTAGACTGTAGAGGAAACAGTAGAGGTAGGCTGTTAGAATACTGCCTACC